TGTTTTGTGAAGTTGTGTGTTGATATGCTGGAACACGTTAACTCGGTCCAGGATGTTGACATGTGTATCTCACTTCATTTTTATCTTTTTAAACTCACTGAGAAACATTAGTTCTATAAATAAACGTCCCGGCTGACGGACTCGTTCTCCACCAGCGATCAGAGCCGAGTGGATTCATGCGTCTGAGACCACGGAGCTTTTCATTTGGTTCCTTCTTCTAAAAATACTCCGTCCATGTCAAACCACACAAATCATAAAGAAGCCCCGACACAAAAGCAGAAGAAGAGGATTTCATCTGACGCTCACGTAACGACGTCCTCACAGAGCGAACATCACATCACATGTTTGAACGTGGCACAAACACAACTTTTGTATCTGCTCAACACAGAGCGTCCGTGACTGCGGCAGCTTCGAGTCTCGGTGAGCTGCGGTTTCACTGAGCTCCTGACACGAATAACAGAAAAACAGAAAAACAGACCTATATTCAGAAATGAACTGTACAGCTCTGACTCCCAGGACATATTTTCAGTCACCACCTTTTATTATGTTCTTTTCCATGCTCTCTATAAATGGTTCTAACTAGTGTTTACAACCTCACGTAAATTACAGAGTTTCTGCTCCGTCATACGTCAGCCGTCGTACGTCCACGACCTCCGACAGAGACTCTCGGAGGGATTTCATTCTGACGGAGGAACAAAGTGAGGGAGCAGCTGGAGGGGAAACCTCCGCACTGAGGAGGATCTTTAACACGTGAAATAAAAGTCAAAGTGCAGATTCAAATCAGTCTGGTTATTAGAGGGGTCGAGTTTCTAATGAGGTTTTCATTTGGAATTTAAGTTGTACATAAAAACAGGTGCTGTGAAGTAAAAGTATAACTGATGAAGTCTTTCAAACCTAATTTGGTGATTCTATACTTTACGTTGGGATTGATTCACGTCAGCAGGTTTCTGACTTTTACGTGTTAACAAATCAGCTCAATCCGACATCACAGACTTCGTAACATCGAATCTGTTTGATGTCGATTCAGACGTTTGTGTTCAGGCCACAAACTGTAGATAAAGATGGATGACTCTCACAATCCACAGAAGAGAAACAACTCAGATATCAACGCTGCCATCTTTTGCCAATGACATCATTTGGATTGAGAGTCACGGTTCCACCAGTACACGTTCTCAACCAATCAGGAGTCCGTCTCAGCTGTCAATCAGGACCTCTGTTTTTATATGATAACTAATGAAAACCAAACCGAAACATTAACGAACATCAGTGAGAGAAGAACGACCTGAAATGACAGAAACATCTCTGACAAATATTTATTTAACGTCTACTTTTTTGGTTTGGTCCATGTCCCATCTGCTCACATGGAGGAGGCAGGGTTTATGAGCTGTACTGCAGCCAGACACAAGGGGGCGATCAAGATGATTTGGCTTCACGTGTGAGGGCTGTATGTCGTCCTTCTTTCTTTGCGGTCTGTGGACTTGTGAACTGCATCAGTTAAGAATCAGTGTCAGGAGATAAAGTTTCATCGTAAACGTTGTTATTTATTTTAAGGTTTTTCTTCTTCTTCTGTTTCTGGTTTGAATTTAAAGCTGCAGCTCATTAACCAGTGGGTTGATGATGTGTTCACTGTCAGTCTGGACATTACAAACATCTGTGGCTCTGTTTACACTCATAAACACTGGGGCTCCTAATACTCACAGCTCTAGAGCCAATTTATATGATCAATATAATTCATTAAGCTGCTTCACTGCAGCATTTGATTCATGTGCACATAAAGTCTGGGAGTTATCAGGGCAGCCGGAGCAGTCAGCTGGATTTATAAGATCAGCCCAGAGTAAACAAACTGAACACTAACTCTGGAACCCAAACAACAGAGGACAAAGTATTCTGCTGCCCTCCGCTGCTCCTCACGTCCCGATTAGAGCTCGATGCCTACACAGCAGTTATCGACTGCACTCCCGGCAGAATCCGCCGCCTGGACCTCAGCCTAAAGACTAAAGCCCAGAGCAGCTGTGAGCAGATAACAGGGCAGAGGAGGAAGAGAGAGAAATCTCCTACCAGGAGGAAACACAAGGAAACACCTGGCCATTTAAATCAAGGTCAAAGAAGGAACAGTTTTCAAGCTATTTGCATTTTCCCAAATCAGTGGCTCGGCTCACCGCAGCAGGGGAAGGACTTACCGTCAGGAGTTCTTTCTGGAAGGACTTCCTCTCTTTGCACTCTGTGTTGTTGCAGTCCTCCTTCAGCTTCTCCAGCACCGATGCCACCCGCTCAGGTTCGCTGTCCAGCTCCGCGCGGCAGAAGTGCGTCAGCGGCAGGTTGACATATCCGAGGGCGTCGGCGAAGGCTCGCCAGTTCCCGATATTCTCCATCAGTATAGTTCTCACAGAGGCGTAGATGTATGTGAGGAACTTGCAGGGCTTCAGTGTTTGCTCCAGGAGTATTGCGGTGGTGAGATCTGGCCCGCTGAAGTAAATGGGTTTCACTTTGCCAACCACTAGCACGTTCTTTGCGTGGACGAATCCTGTTCGGCCCTGATAATATCCAATGTACCATTCTTTTGTCCACAGCTGACCCTTCAGCTTGATTTTCTCTTCACTCAACAGAGCTACAAAGTCTCCTTTCTTGTACTCCAGCAGGTACTGGTTCTTAGTTTGTCGGATCACAGTTTTTATTAACTTTCCAAACTTCAGGTTGTTTATCCTCCTGTCCTGGAAAACCGGGTATTTGGTGGCAACAGCAAGAGGAGACAGAACTATCTTGCCGACTTCCTTCTTCTTCAGGAAGCGGCGCTGCACTGATGTCTTTGGACCTGCTTTGGGTGGTGGGGTCGGTGTCTGGACACAAAACTGAGCCAGGATACAATCTAGGTCATCTTTGATCTGGATTCTTAGGGTGAAATCAGAGACGTCCTCACTGTTGCGTGAAGCGATGATGTAGACGAGCCTGCTGACTTTGCCCAGTTTGACCTGGAAGCCCCGGACCACTCTGGCCTGATCACTAGCCTTTACCTCGTAGTTGGCCATGTTGGAGTAAACGCCAACGCGGAGGTCCTGCGGTCTGGACAATACAAACTGGTGTTTACCCCAGAGCTGCAGCGCTACGGGCGGAGCAGACTGCGCCTGCTTGCCGACGTCACTCACCAACAGAGTCTTTGGGGCACAATCATGGCCAAACATGGCTACAACTGTTTTGAAGGACGGGTGAATATGTTTGGGGCCGTACACTCCTAAGGTGATCTTTTTAACCACATGCTCCCAAACCGTGGAGTCCGGAGCTAAAGAGTGGGACTGAGCCACAACGCACACGTACATGCTCGGTTCCAGGTTATCAAGACACACTTGAACTGTGTCCCCGTACATGTAGGCCTGAGGAATGGCAGAGTAAGGTCCCTCTTTACAATCACTCCTGACGCACAAGACTTTTGACATCTGTCTGCTCTCCATCTTCACCACGACAGAAACCTTCATCTCCAGGGTCACGGTGGTTTTGGTCTCCATGTTGCTGAGTTTGATCTCCACCACAGGGCTGACGGTGGTGCAGCGGTCATTGTTCAGCTCCAGCGGCGGGTCGAGCAGAGCTTTGATTGAGATCTGCTGAGTGTCCCCAGGGCCCACGTGACCCTCGGGTATGTGGATGCTGATGTTGGTGTCTGGAAGCTGAACGGCGCCTCCTGAGCTGTCCAGGCGACAAACGATGTTGGTTTCCACCGGTTGCGTTTGTCCCCAGCCTGGGCTCTGACCCAGTGAGTCCAAGTCATGGCAGGACCTGGCAAGCTTGCGGTGGGTGAGCCACGCTGTCCTGAAATCTTCCCGGCTCTGGAACTGCTCTGGAGCTGGTGCTTTCAGGCCTCCGAAGAAACCGCCAGAGACCTGAGGGGAGTCGGACTGAGCCTGCAGGATGGAAAGCTCAGACAGACTGTAGGACCGCTTGCTTCGAAAAAATGGGTTGTCCCTGCGCAACGTTTGTCCCAAGCCCACAGTGGGACTGATTGGGTTAAAAACGGAACTGCCAAAACCATTGATGTCGGCAGTGCTGCTGGTGGAGTTGGGCACTGATGGAGCGAGCGAGTCAAACAGAAGGAGGTCCACTGATTTCTCATTACTGTTCTGATCGAGTGAACTCTGAGGACCTCCGTTCAGGAAAGGGTTCGTAGAGGTATGGGTTGCTGCAAAAGGATTTCCATTTTGGAAGGTGGTTGGTTTCAGGATCACCCCCGACCACTCTCCCAACAGGTCCAGTTCTTTGGCCGCCTCCTCGTTAAAATCTCCCACAGTGTCAATCATCCCACTGTCGCTGAAGGACGAGTCTCTGTAGTTGATGGGTTCCACGTAAGCAGCAGGGATGTAGCCCATCTCCGTGTTGTTGTGGGCGTACCACCACTCTGCTCCCGACGAGTCCAGGACATAGAGACGGTCGCCTTTAGAGAACTTGAGGGTGGTGAAGCTGGATGGGCAGTAGTCCTTTATGGCAACAACTTCCCTAGCGGTGCCGAAAGAGGCGGTCGCGTCCAGTCGTAAGGCACTGGGAGAAGGCACTGGGGGGGGAAAAGCATAATGTCAGGTAAGAATCTTTCACAGGTGCAGTCTATGTGTGTGCTGCTCTGAGTCACAGGGGTCAGATCCAGCAGTAACTGCTACACTGAACATTATAAGGACATAGTGTTTCTTTCCTCTAATTTGTTTTGTGAATGTCAAAGTTCTGCAAAGTTAAAAAACCCAAACTCTGTAGGAGGGGGAGCCCCTCTCCTGCTCCTGAAGCTTCAGAAACAACGTCGACTAAACTTACTGCAAAAGACACGTTTTTAAACACGTTGGAGAAAAAAATCTAACATTTCGCTCACACACAGTTCACACAACACGAGACGTGACGCCCACAGTAAAGATCGAGCGATCGTGCCATTAAGGTCTTCATCAGCTTGACTTACATCGGAACTTTTTCTCTATCGCGTTAAACATTCAAGAGCAAAGTAAGATTCGAATGAACATCCAACTGCCTCGATTCTGAATCAAAGATGTTCACCAGTGAGGAAACAGTGTTTTTAACCCGACTCTGTTTCTGTTTGATGAAGTTTCAGTTCGAGCCGCTGACCTTTGACATCAGTGAGCGTAGCTTCAGAAACACCTTCGCTCAGGTCGACGAGTGTCCCCTCGGATTTGCAGCGAGGGAGGGAAGTGTTGTTGTTGGCGGTGGCTCTGATCCGATGGGCGGCCATGTTGGGACCCGTCACAGTGCACCAGACGACTCTGATAGGTTTCCTTTAGCTGAAGACCGGGTCGAACGTCAACGACCTCCCATGATCTCTGAAACACACAGGAAGTAAATGTACAAATAAATAAAATGGAGCTGTTTCCTGGTTGTTCATCATTTAAAATGTGTGAAACTCTGCTCGATGTCGATGTTCCCATTTTAATTCCAAATGTTTTTACGTTTGTTGCTCAGAAGCTTTTAAACATTAAGATGGACATAAAGAACTGAGCAGAACAAAGTGGACGCACAGAAATAAACTGTGAGTGATTCAAGACACTTTCATCCTCCAGATCAGAAAATCACACAAACAGAATCAGAGTTTCTGTTTCATAAATCCAGAGGTTCAGTGAAGTCGCTTCATTTATTTACAGCAGTTTGATTCAGGATCATTACCTCAACCAGGAAACTGCAGTTTGTTTACTGATTTACAGAAAGTGAAGTTTTCATTGGTTGTTTTCCGTCGTAGAGGAGGAAGTTTAACTCTGAGCGATAACCAGAATGTGACGTCATCACAGTGAAGCTGACCTCCGTTAGAAACTGAAGCCACAGATATCTGGTTTTTGTGAGGCCACAGTGACCTTTGACCTTTGACCACCATAATCTTCTCAGTTCATCCTTGAGTCCAAGTGAACGTCTGAACCAAATCTGAAGGAATTCATGAGTCGACGGAGGAACAACCTGAGAACGCATCGCCGTGGGCCTTGTTTGTCGTCGCCGCGGTGACGTGAAGAAAATAATGACTGGGTGAAAAACCGCAGAGAGCAAATGTGGGTCAGTGGAACGTTTGAGAGACATCAGGCTTTTTAGTTTGAATCCATAATTCATTCAGTGTCAGTTCAGGACGAGGCCGCTCCGCTAACAACACGGTTTCATATCTTTGTTTAATTTCAATCTTTTGACTTGAGCTGCAGTGGATCAGCCTGATGATCAGCTGATGCTCTTCTGCTGCATCGAGGTTTGTTTTCAGCCACAAAACAAGAAGCGTGAAGCTTCCCTCTGTCTCCTGTTGACACTTAGAACTAAAGAGGAATTATTCCAACCGTCACAGACTCGTTCACTGCAGCAGAATTATTATTTCAGTGTTAGAAACCTGCAGGGTCAGCGACTACAGCAAACGACTGTCCATAAACCTCACACAC